TCGTGTCTAATCCCATAAATATATCGGCGACGGAATATACGTGCGTGCCTCGTGTGAGTTATTATATCGTAGATGATGAATATTCATCGGTGTGCTACGCGTTTCGTTCGGACGGATCGTCGAGACGCAGGCAAAACACGGCGGAATGAAATACCGCATGTAATGAAACCGTCGTCCGCCCGCATTTCTCCGTCGTGCCTTCCTTTTTTTTCGTCTCTCTCTCTCTCTCTCTATTTGTTTGTCTTTCTTTTCTTTTCTCCCCCGACGCGCGCGGACAACAAACCGCGCGCGCGCACGGCTGCAACCTTTGCGAGCAAGAACAATCGACGCGCGTGGTTGCGCCGATCGGGTTTGCCGGTCGATCGGCGATATCGAGCCGCGACCATAAAACAAATTGCATCGGCGGTGCGCCGCGCCGCGCCGGAGCCGTCTTTTCGAGCGCTCGCGCGCGAAATCGCGGCCGCACGCGAGCCGCGTTTTTCCTCGCAATCATCTGCACACACACGCGGAGATATCTGGCCGGTATGATCTCGCGTCACGGTCTACGCACATGTGTGCCGCACTTCGTGGGCGACCTCGTAGAAAAGAAGGCGGCGATGCCGACGTGGAGGGTTACGTGGACGAGCAGAAACGGAGCTCTTTCCGAATCGCCGTTCTTCTTCCGTCGATAGTCGCGTGACTCGTCGGATCCGCGCTGGCTGCGAACTCGATCTTCCGACGGAAAATCTCCCGAATTTTCCGCCGTTTCTCCGTCACGACGGGTACTTCGGCAATCGCTGCGCCGCGTGCGTTTCGCCTTCACCTTGTCATCGCGTTGCGCGAACGAAGACGCGATTGCAACGGCGAGCTGGCGCTCACAAATCTAGGTTGCTCGAGCGTTCTACGCAATCGAGCTCTTCTCTATGCGCAACTCCCATGACTCCGTGCCCCGATTTTTTTATCTGATTTTGTTATCGCGTGACGGTGGGGGAGACGCGAAGAATTACCGAGAAAGATGTCATTAATAAAATTAGATTCTTCGAGGGAAAAGATTAAAGTGCTCCGATGGACGGATGTGTGAGTCACCGCGAGCTGACACGATACCCGGCCAGTTTAAGCGTCTTCCTCTGGTGAAAATGCTTTACAAATTGTTATTTGAGAAACGCAGATTTTCATTAAAGAGAAAGCACACACCAAAACTGATATGTGCATGAAAAATGGACACACACATGTCTCTCGGCTATAAAGTATCGCTCTGTTGAACATTTCCAGGTGGGTTCCCATTGTAGTCCAAGAGAACTCATGTGAATCCATATAAGATATTAAAAATCCATATAGGAATCCGTGGATTACTTAGGACCTGGATTTTTGGCGCAAACCCCCAAGAACAACCGTGGGATCCCGTATGAATTTCCGTATGAATCGTATAGATTTTCACCTGGTTTTTTTTAACAGAGTGAACTCTATTGAACAGTACGTGAACCTTGTCTACTGCATGCAATAGGTGGAGCTGAAGTGGCAGATTCTGTTAGCAAGCGCGTTTGGTTATTAACGTTAGTTCGTTTTTCGCCGTTCTGAAGTTCTTCCCGAGCTATTTTCTCGTAAATCTTTAAGTAACAAATCAACGGTAAATAATTTATCAGACAATGGTAGTTTATAGTGTAGAATCTGAATTTTTCAAATCGCTTTAGATATTGTTGCCAATCGTCATCCTTTGATAGAGAATGGTTGCCGCTTTGCATCCATGCGCATAAATTTTAATTCTATATCCGCGACAGGATTTTGAAGCCCAGAAACAAAATGGCGTGTCAGTCTTGATGTTCGTTCTCTATATTTCACACATTGCGATCTGAACCCTTTTAACGTGCTTTGCCAATGCGACGTTTCTATTTTAGATTAAACAAGCTCCTATCATTCCTCCTAGCCACTTTGTTCTGTAGGTCAATCGTTGATGAGGTCGTTGCGGTTGGATTCATTAATTACGCGAATTACATTTCAAGCCTGCGACCGTGCCCGGCGCGAAAAGACCTGCGTCTCGTTTCGCGAAAAAACTCGAAATAATAGAACGTGCTATTTTAACGGGCGTTATTAATTAAGAGAACTGTCAATCCGCCGTGTCTCGTGACCGAGGCCGTGCCATTAACCTGTCCTCTCGCTGTGTTCGTTCGCGGTACGAATATCGATACGGTCTCTCCGCCGAATGTAACGTTCGTACCGTCGCCGTAGCATGACTTTCAGTCCATCAATTATGCCCGGTTATTGCATTACGCCCGTAAGATAATAATCCGGACGTCCAGAATTGTACGTCGAGATGTCGAGCGCGTGAAACGAGCCCGGCATATATTATTAGAAAATCGATTGAAAATGCAGATAAAGTAAATCGCGATCGGGTCTACCATTAATTTTACACCGGCAAAACGGCACCGGCTGTCGCGCGCTTGCGTAAAAATCCACCCCGCCGCGGAGAGAGTCGCAAAGAAATGAAAGAGAGCCAGAATCCCGACGACCCGGGAGCAATAAATGGAAATATTGCCGATTTCTAAATTCCTGCCCGAACGTTTGCATTACACGCGTAATCAGCTTGCAACAAAATTCCGATTGGGAAATACTCTACATGTGCTAGACATTCGCGCGTATATATTCACGGTACTCGAATTCTAAGGCGAGAACCACCTCTAAGGGTCTACTCGCCTTGACATTGAGCCGGTGAAAGAAAACCGCGTAAAAAGGAGTCGGCGCAGAAGTTGGCCGTGGCGACGGCTCTCACCTTGCCTTTGATACAGAAATCGCGTGGACGAACGAACCGCAACCGCGCTCGCATTGCACCGATCGCTCTTGTACAATTGAGATAACCTTTATCCGTGATTACCTCGGAGAGCCGGCACTGTAATTGCGCCCGAGGAAACGGTGTCCTTCGACGAACCGCCCGACGCGTTCGACGCTTCGAGGAGATCGTTGAGAGGATCGTAAATCGGGCGTAATGATTTCATCAAGCTTTACGTAAGGGACGCTCTCGAGGGGACGAAGAAATAGCCGGGCCCCGTGAATCGTCCCGTTGCTCCTCCTTTCTCGAGTTTGCGCAAGGACTGCGAAATTTACGGCGCGAAAACGGAATTTCCGAAGCAGACGCGCGCGGTTTGCGTCACCCAGTACGTCACCAGACCGCGTCTTCGTAACTCTCCTCGTTAATCGCATTGTGACATGGATTTCTTTGCGAAACTACACGGAAAAGAGTTCAGTTGAATTTGCCAAACAATGATGCCAAACGTGTTTTGCTTGAGGGAAACAGAATTTCTGGTCTCAGTTTCTTATAAGGGGCAAATTTGGTGCATGAGAACTGGAAATTTTGTTTCCTTCGATCAAAACGCGTTTTGTTGTCTATTGTCAGGTATACTAAAGTATAATGAATATATTATCACCGAGAAGCAGTCAATAATCACTAGTGATCATAGTTATAAATATAGCACTGCAAATTAATAAAATTTCATTGCAAAAGTCTGTTAATAGCAATTGTTTCTATCGAAGAAATCTAATTGCAGAAACAACGAAAAAAGATATTATTTATTACTCCTTTTTTTATCTCAATACCACTCTTAAAGTATGATCAATGATTTTGCCTAAAATATTCTTAATTACGTTTAATTGATTCAATTTAATATCGTACTTTTGATTATGATTGATATACAATTATCGGTAGAACACTGTTTTACTAAATACCGTTTTTCAATTAATGGCATTTTCATTGATCCAACTTAAGAAAGTAGAGAACCAACCGAATTAATTTTTTAGTGTAGACAGACACGACTTCCTTTCACGAGTTATTATCTAAATCCGGCTGCCAGGCGAGCGTGCGAAGACGCGTTGATTGGATGAAAACATATGGAGGAATATGTGTCTGCTTGTAAATGTCTTACGTCTCGGGAAATACGTTACAGGGTCGTAAATTTCTTTGGCCCGTGGGTGAAAATAGTGTTATTAGAAGCGTGGTCAGCGATCGATCAGTCGTAAAAATTGTCACGCACCTTCGTCATGGTCGATATAATTTCAAAGATCGGAAAGCGCACGACCGTCAGATTGGAAGTAGAGGGATATAATTTCGAGATTTTACAACGCGCAATTTTCAACGGGGACGTACGGTTGTGCCCGCTTAGAGTCTATCTCGATAATTTAAAGCCTATACTTAGTATCATTATCCGCGTAGTGTCATTATTTAACACCTGACAGGATAGATCCGCATGCTCTTTGCCTCAAAATACGGACAATTATCGTAATGACGGTCATTTTTTGGACAGATGTAACGGGCGAAATCGCTCGCGCGCTTTGATTCGATCGCTCGTCCGCTCGCTCGCTCGCGATACGATGAACGCGTACAATCCGGCAGCTGTTGGCCTCGCATGAGAATTCACGTGATTAGGCGCCTCGCGGAGGCACGCTTACTTTATTATAACTAATAACCCGCAGTTCATTCGCGAAATGAGCGAAATACACCTCTCGTATCCGTGTTTGATCTGGATCTATGGGAATCGCTGAGATATGCTGGACGTGCGAATGTTCATTAGGAAAAATTCCTTCTCATTTATGCATTCTGTATCTGTAATTTGCAAGAAACAATCGCGGCATTTTATAATGCGGTGCAAAAGTACGAGCTGAAAAACGTACGGATGCCGGGGACCCGTTGCTTCTTTTTGCGCGCATGCATCGCCTTTATTTTCGCAATCATTCTCGCAACGAATTGTAATTTGTGATTTATAAATTAAAATGAGGTATTGTTGCGATTTGGAAATTTTCATGGGTAAAACTTATTTATATCTTGACACAAATTTGCTATCTGCTCTGCGAAATTCTCCCACTGTGAAATAACTTTGCTGAACGACGTTGCGTGATTATATCGCGCTTGAAGTTTTCGCAGAGGAAAATTCGATCCCGCGATTACTGACGAGACACACTTTCGAAACTCGACGCAATTGTTGCGGAATACTCGACACAGGCAAGATGCGAATTCACGAATTTCTTTATTGCAGATCGTTCTAGTCGCATTCGTCATGGCCATCCTGGCGAACGTCTCGGCGCAGAATTTCAGGCATTTCTTCACGGGATTTAATCCTTACGTCCAGTCCGCCGCGGTAATGAGGGATCCGAGATCAAATAGAGGTAAATTATTATTATTCGCAGTCACACAGCGAACGAAATAGTGGTTTCTTCCATTAAAGAGGCTTTATTTGCCGTCAGAGAAGGTTATTGGGGAATAGTAATGGTAATACTTATTTCTGGGAATGCAATTGCTCTTAAAAGCGTTTTTATTATTATTAACATTTTATCGCGGTATGAAACCGCTAATTGTCCGAACGGGAACGTATTTGGTGTTGCTTAAGATTTTCTACGATAACCTTTGCACTTTTGCAAGTACGGCTACGTCAATTTGCATAATCCGAAGATTATTTGTCGGCGTATTATTACTTGAACCGACAGCTCGCCGCGAGACAATTAGAATTTCCTTTTTTGTTCATACGCTATTATTAGACTTCTCGAAGTGCTCGTTGAGACTTACTGGTACGCTTCGGAAGCATTCGTTCTCTAGCTTGTATATCCTTCACGTTATCAGGAAGCCGGAGATCGTGCAATTACGACAATTTGTGATTACGTTTTTCTTTATTTGCATACGCCACGAAGGAACGGCCTCGTCTCATTTGCAAAATAACGGTAGACATTCCGATACTGCTCGCTTAGCATTCCACGTTCGAAAGTTCTTCCTCGATGCGAGAGAAATACGTCGGAAATCGGATTCTCGCTTACGATTTTATCGAAACGCATAACAACGTGTAATTATGATCGGCACTTCACACACTTATTATTGTATTAATACGGAAAACCTTAGTGTGGTACGTCGCACTTACAGGAAAATAACCACCGAATTGGGATATTGCTTGTGCATGTTTATACAATAACTTACAACTTCCGTTCCAGCTTATAAATATGCGTTCGAGCAACAACGATAGTTTGTTATTATTATCTTTTCATTTTTTCTTGAATTAAACAAAATTAAAATTGATTGTCAGATTGAATCAGATATTTGAACAAGTAAACCACGATTATGATAAACTGATAGGATTGTGATAAGAGACTGATAACTTCTGTTATCTTAATAGTCATGATTTATTTGCCGTGTATTTTTGATATTAGAAACGAGAAATGAGAAATATTGAAATAATGTGTATTTTGTATATTATATATATTGTGTATATTATGTATATTACGCGTATTGTGAATGGAAATATTTTTCCGAACATTAATTGTCACGATTCATTAAATCTGTGCAGCTTACGTTGCTTACGTTTTTTTTTGTAAGGTTGACAGCGTAACAAAGACTGTTTTTATGACGGCTATATTCGCTGGGCCGTAAAGATCCGAGATACAAAAGGAATGCTCCGCGGCATACGCTGTGTCGTATAATCAAACGATTGATTGCGATCGAGAAGAACGAACCCGATCGAGTTGTGCCTCGCTGTTAATACAGACCCTACCTTGCTCGGACGGTATAGTACTTTTACCGGAACAGAGCGGGACTAACTAGAAATTTGTTCGAGCACGTGTGCGCGTAACAAAAGGAAAGGCGATCCGCTCTCGCGTTTACGTATCTCGAACATCCGTGAGTCGCGGAAAATTTTTCGTAACTCTCGAGTGGAAATTTGCGCGAAAGCAACGAGCTTCGTCGAAGTACTTATTACAAAGCAATCGGATTTTTTGACTTTACGCTACATTGCTGATCCTAAAACGCCACTTTGATGCAATTATTTCGTGACAAACCGTTGTCTATTTCTTCGTTAGTTTTACATGTATCTCATTTCGCTTCACATAATCAATTCTCTCGGTGTTCCAAGAATTGCACAATACCTTACGTTACCTATTCAATTTGCCGCGTTAATTGAGTTATTTGTTATTTGAATGACACACGAGTGCTCCACACGGGACTCGATCCTTGCGCCACGTTGGAGCGTTGTTAGGCGCATAACGGCTTTGGAATGAGTGTCAAGTTCAACATCGCCTACAATAAATAACGCGGCTTACTATGCGTGTGACGGGAGACCGGGCAAAGTAGCTCGAGCTACATAAATCATATTTTAACTCGCCGTCGCGAAAACCGATCAACTTACACGCGATAGTAGAACCGTATCATTTCGCTATCTGGCTTATCTATCCCGGCGGTATGCTCATACTATTATCTAATTCTCGTGGCTCGCGTGAATTATCAGATGCTAGTTCTCGCGAGCGCGGATCATAATTGCAAAATATAAATTATGTCGCGGCGCTGAAAGATTTACGTTTCCGACTACTATCTATCTTGCTTCCATAATCCTCGTCGTATCACGGCTGCCGCTGACAGAGGCCCCGCTATTATTAGGATAACATTAGAGGTCTACACATTAGTCAAATAAATCGTTGGATTTTTTCCTCCGCTACTGAATATTCATTGCGATTATTCACCGAAGGCGTCGCGTGCACGCTTACCTCGCGTATCTCGTTACCGTTTTGTCGCGAATAATAGGAGGAAAATAGGAAAAGAGACTAAGGACTCTCGTGTTTATTACTAGCGCACTAGGGTCATTAAAATAATAATCCCGGTGTGTCTAGATGCCCAGATAGATATCTATCGTCTGCAGATCGATTAATAATACGGACGCGAAGAAAACGACTTCCTCATGTCAGAAAGGTTTGCCACTACTCCTTTGCAACTTTCCTTTGATACCACGTAACACAACGCGCGGCAATGCTATTATTAAATGTGGTTTATTAAGTATTGCAAGGTACACGATTAATTAGTCGCGTTCCGAAAGTAATTCTCATTTAGAACGTTGTGAAATAGAGCAGTTTCTTTGAAGTCAACTTTTGAAATTAACTCTCCTATCGGATATCATTCATTAGAATAATAACAGCAATCGCCCGTTAATTTCCCGAGAGCGTTTAACGAGAAAGTAAAGAAAACTGTACGATAAAGAATTAGGATGTCGTAATAATAACAAGCCAACGATGACTAACACATTTCTATTAGAGAATGTCTCAATGTATTATATATATTATAACTAACTCGTCGTAGGAAGCAACTTTGATATGAAACATGGTGGGGTATTTGTAACAAAAAATGGCTTTTACTCACTGCAGCATCGGACGCGTAGCTAGATTTCAGCGAAATTTATTGAAATTCGCCCGACTTTTAATGCGCTTATAATACTATTTACTCCACCATATCATCAATCGCACCATTGCTTTGCCAATGACCGTGAAAGCTATTGATCTTCGTAACTATGCGTTCAATCAACTTGGCTAATCTCATCAAGTAAGTAAGTAATCGATAAGAATCAAGTGAGCTCATACACCGTTGTTTACCGTATTAAGTGCCATTCGATATCTCCATCGATCAAGCTTCCCGACGGCGAGCGTTTACAACGAGTGCACCATTGTACCATAATATTCGAGTACGAGTCATTGATCGATAGTATCGCCGGAACAATGGTCAAGACTTCGTAACGGAAATTACACCGAAGGTTTCGCGTATCTTTTCCTCGTGCACCTCGATACCGCCTCGGGGCTTCAAGTATACTCACGGAAAAGGCAGGGAAGGAGGAAAAATACACTAAATGAGAGAGAATTCGCGTTTTTACCGCGACGAACAATCGTGAGAACAATACGCGGCTTTCAGGGTAGAACTGAGAGAGAGAGAGAGAGAGAGAGAGCAATTGTGTTTAACGCGCGGATATTCCTTCCAGGTCCTGTGTTATTCCCACCTGGGCCACCGCCCAACTCGGCTGACACCAGCGGCGTCATCGTGGGCGCGAGCGGATACGGATTCGTGCCACCCAGCGCAGGTAATTCGTTGGGCAGGTTCTGAGAGTCGAGGGAGAACACGATGCACCCGAAAACAAAGAGAAAAAAGCGCACGCGCAAAACAAAAAAAAAAGAAAAAAAGAAACGTTGAAAGGGATCGGTGGTGGAGCACACAAGTCGGCGGGCCTTCTCACGTGACCGGCATCTGCATGCGAGGCAGCCCAAAGAGCCGCCGAGACCGCGAGAAAGAATCACAGGATGAGAAAAAGGGATATAGACGTAGACGAAAAGGGAGAGATTACGCACTCTCGTGATCACGCGATACCTCGTTCGCCCCCTCGTCCCCTCCTGCCTCCCTCACATCCTCCATTCGAGCACTCAACTTATGTATAAGCGCACTATTTATTGTTGATAGTTGTGAAATAACATCGTCGATGGCACGCGTCCACCCTCCCCCGTCACCCTCCCCCACCCCAGCACCACGAGTTCTAATTATGCGTGCATGTGCGGTACTATGATAATTAGTTAGTGTTTATCTCGTTCTACGAGTCGCTCGAAAAGTCGACGCGCGTGTTATTACTTTGGACCCGGCGCTGGTATTACGCAACGGAAATTCGTCTGCGTTACGTGATCAACGACAAGCAAGCAAAGAGTTCAAGTAGATTATTGAAATTGATCATAGAGGAAGATCACGATGCGCGTAATCGTAATAGCAACGTTGAGGCTCGTCGGCGATTCGAGTAGCACAGCGGTGCTACTCATCGCCGGTCTCGAAGTGTTAACACGAAGAAACTGCACTGCAATGCGACGCGATATTAAATCGCGCCGGTGTGACGATGCATTATTTGTGCAATCGGCTCACAACGAGACGTGGCGTACCGGAAGGATGAACGTGACTTCTCATCCGCGAGTCGTGCGACTGTTCGAGCACTCCGTATAGTTGTTAAGGGTGTTACGACACATGAGAATTAAATTAAAAATAGTAAATCTAGCTGTAAACTAAATAAAACTAGCAAGAATGAGCAAATCCGACGTACGGGCACAAACGTATCTCACGAATCGTTCCACTTCACCTTTTCACGTTGTGCAACGGAAATCGGCTTGACGGCGGGGAGAAAGAAAAGAAAGAAAAAGTCGAACCATCGAAACGCGGCCGTGTGGTCACGAATATCGCGCGTCAGATTGGCAAACCGCAAAAGTTACAACATTTCTTCCCCATTACCTTCGCGCGGAGGTCGACTCTGTTACTTCCCCGACCGATCGATCCTTGAGTCACAGCAGGTACGTCGTTTTGCGATCGTGCTAAATGGTATCTCGTCGTTCGCGCGTTCCGCGCCGAGGACGACGATCGCGCGCGCGATCATTACATCTTCGAGAGAAAACGAGCGGCACGGCATTACAGTGTACCGCTGTAATTGCTTAATATCCGCGAGCATGCCAAGTCTTCGTTCTTCCGACGTTTCTCGCTGCTCGCTACCATTTAGGAATCCGCTCCCGTCCGGATCGGCCGCGGATCGATCTCGTAAACCGCGGACGGCGAGACGTAATTAGCTAATACTGTGGTACGGGGGTACACAATTTAGCCACCGGTAACGTGCACCGCAGCATGCGTCGTGACAGAAATGCACTGGCGGGGATAAGTAATATCGCGGACCGCAGGTAAGTCTATAGGAAAAAGTTTGCTTAATGTTAATCCGAGATATGAGTCTTAATTAGGTCTCTGAAATGTAGCGGCGAATGTTCAATAAATGTTTCCCCCCGTTCACCCCGTAATTACAGAGCGGTAAGCATGAACCGTTTTTTCTTTTTTTCCGATAACGGAGACTTTCGCCGGTAGGATCGTTATCTTATTAACCTTGTCAGCGGTATCGTACGAGCCACTTGCTCGTCGCCCGTTTGCACGAGGTGCGAGAAACTCGAGGCGATCGGGCTTTGTATTTATAAATCGATCCGGGTCCAAAAATATCGCGCGATCATGGTGCCCGGATATCCTTGTGCAATCGAATCCCCGATTTCCGCGACGAGATACAAGGCAACGTCTCTTCCGGCAATGTAAATGCGCGTTCGGCTTTCATTTTTCGCGCCGTCCTTCGCACCTGTGCGCTCCGCTCGCTATCGAAATAGGCTCATCAAGAAGCACAACGAGACGTAATGGGAGGGAAAGAGACAGGGAGAGAGAGAGAGAGAGAGAGAGAGAGGAGCGAATAAGTACGAGAGAAAAGGAGCGTGCGGCGGGTCCCTCGTACTTCCTTCTTCCGCAAAACAACCAGCAACGTAGCTGAATACCGGTTTCCTTGCGCGAGGATTCTTTAGCCTTGGAACACGCACGAACATCCGCGACGGGTCAGTGAAAGCGATTTCGTCGCGGCGCTCTACCTCGTGGTTGAAACTCGTTTACGCGTAACCTTACTTGAGTTACTCCACTGCGCGTAACAGGTGTTACGAGGTCGACGGCGACAAGGTTGCCTTTTTGGTTGAACGACGGGTTACAGCTGCTCCGGAGAGACAAAGACGGAGTATAGCGAGAATCAACGATCGTTTCGTCCCGTCTCCGACCGCACCGGTCACGCACGGTCAAGTTCAATCGATTTTCTTAACCGCGCGAGTCGCGTCTCTCATCGTTCACTTTAACCGTGACAAGAACCAAGCAGGAATTATGATATCGAATGACAAAGCGAACGTTTCTGTTTTTAGCGTATTTAAAAAGCGAATTCTTAACCAAATAATATAAACCGGCACGGGAGAAAAGTAGTAGCTCCCACGGTTAAAAACTAACTCCAATAGGTAAAAATTAGCTATCCATATAATACGACTGAGGTTTAATTAGTTCAGTTAATTCTTTTTGTCTTTGTATCTAATTTTTAGCTCGCGATAGCTAGAAACTAGATTTGGTACCTAAATTTCGTTTATATCGAGCAGCTAATTTCTTTCTTCCGTAAGCGTATCGATAACGGAACGCAAATATCTCCGACAACATAACATAAGCGTCTTAAGACGTCGTAAGGCAATAAGACATCGTAAAAACGTCTTCTAGACAATAAGATATCCAAAAGGCGTTATTTTCAGAGGATATCTTATGTCCTCTGACATATTTGCATGAAGTATTATCGGCACGCTGACTTCTCTTTACCTCTCAATTCACTTCTCCTATTTTTAATCGCCATTCCTCTCTTTATTCACTTTATTTTTCCAAGTTAGTCCATCCGCAATATATTTTTAGCACAAGCGAAAGTCGACAGATATATGGCTACAGAATATGTAAGAGAAGATACTTTGTCAATTGGTGAAATTATGTAAGATGTACATGCAACATCGTTGAAAAATTCCGTCGCAATGAACGTATCTAGCGAGAACACTCGATTGGAGAAACTAAATTCGATATTGTAATAGTAGCCGTAAAAATACGACAGGTGTTGCGACACGGAGAAAAGAACGACAGCAGCGGCCACGATTTTGGCCGTGGGTTCGTTAACAGGTGTATTTAGGTAGATGCCTCTCGAGAATGTCAGGTGGTCACACGTTCGTAATTATCGGTCGACGGAAGAAGTACAAACGCTGCGATTGGGCAATCTGCTGCGCGTCTATTAAATTCTGTGTAAGAAACGCTGAAAGGAGAAAGACGTAAAGCATGCCGATATAATCAGCTCGACGCAATAAAGCTTTGTTTCCATGAATCGTATAAAGCCATGTTTCCATAAATCGCATAATAATAATGTTTTCTCAGCAAATGATTATTCAACTCAGAGAAGACGGGCGAAGATTCATAAATAATTTGCTATGATATTATTTCATAAATTCCTTCGCCCGTTTTGTGCAAAGTACTCAGAAAATGTGTAGAATCGAATGAGGTAAGTTTTTACGGGACAAAAGACGTTGGTCAAAGATAAACGAAACACTTTCAATAAGATTTTTACACTTTATAGAAATTTTATAGTAATTTTATAGTAATTTTTTATGGAAAAATACGACGGGCATACACTGTGCTTTCATCTTCCAAATTATCTCCCCTGTGCAGTCTCAACAAATTAAATAACGCATTCGCATTTGTTTTTTCCTGAGGGACCACTGGCTCATCGACTGTATTACGATTTACCGAACGTATAGTATCCGTATAGTTCTATAAAAGTTAACGGGAAGCGATACGCTAACGGTATTAAAACTCGCGTACGGCGCTAAAGAAGTGAATGGCAGGCGAATAAATTCTCCCTGTAGGAACACGCGGCGGATATCGAGGGAAAGCCGGTACATCTCACCGCTTTACAACATTTTGCACTCGTTAATGCGCGCAACGCGACGCGAGAGAGAACGTAAATCTCGCCGGCAAGCGGCGTGATTAACGTCGTGGCGCATTAAGGACGGCGGGGAACGTCGGGCAAGCCCGAAAGCAGAACCCGAGATTGTAGCTGAGGTGCTCGCTATTTTATCGGGACAATTTTGTAGATTAATCCACCCGTTAGCAGATAACGAGTGCAAAGTATAATTTAATTATCTGGCAGGAAATAAAGCCGCTTACGGCGGGAGCGGCCGCGCCTTACGCTGACTAGTTGGATAAAACTGAAGCACAAAGACGGTATTGACGCAACCCGCGTGAGAGTAATTTCCGTTCGATGAGTAATGCCCGCGATGACTCTTGTTTCCAAATCACAGGAGAGATACACCCGCGATAAATAGCTGAATACGGCGCTTTTCTATGTCCGCTAATTAAAAACGATCGTATCGCGCGTTCGATAACAAGCCGTCGTAAATTTCGCGCGGCTAAAACGAAAGCTGGTAACATTCTGGGTCAAACGGCCATTCGTTCCCCTTAATAGTCATTAAACCCGACGATCCGCATTTAATTACGCGACACGCAAAAACCGGTGACCCCTCCGGACGTCCTTGACGGGAATTTATCTCGGGGTTGAAAGGAGGGCGCGAAAAACGAATTTTCCCCAAAACTCGTCGCCGGTATTCCCCGCGGAACACAAACTCGTAACTTAACGATATCTCCGTTAAATACTTTTTTCACGGGACATTAATTTGGCACTCGGACGAGAAGGCGTCTCCGCGCAACCGCGTGAAAAGTTTATAGTGAATCGAGATACAAAAGTTGCGTTCCGGTACATTTGACTAACCGACCGCAGGTCGTATCGATGGGATTCCGGCGGCGCAACATATTGCGCCACTTCAGCATGCAATTTATTCGCACGATGCCGCTGCACTTTGTCGTTAATTATACTTATACAGGGTATCTCAGGGTAAGAAGAACGCTTAAATATCTTGGAGGTCTAAATATGGTAACCTAACAAATATGAGGAAAAATATCGAAAAGATTACCGTAAAAACCCTTTCTTCCACTGTAATTCTTCTTCGAAACCATTGAAATTCGAAACATTTCTTATATTATTAAAAACAAAGGAGATTTGGACATATAGATGTATTTCGATGTTTTGTTCCGTCTCTGTCAATATCTAAGTGTTCTCCTTATCCCGAGACACCCTGTACAATGTAATTAATAATTTATACCATCTCAACATTGATTGAACACCTTTTCCGTAAGTATCTCAACGTATCTTTTGGCAACGAGTACCGCAAGAAAATTTAATAGGCGAGTGAAAGTTACAAATTATGCGCACGCGACTATCGTAACGCGCACAATATATCTTTAACGTAGAATCGCGCCGGTTGCTAACCGAAACGTAAAAAAATGCGGCACCATTACAAAATATACGCTTCGATCGCTCCAGTAGTTTCCGAGCCGAGCTCGTCGTGGCCGTCGCCGCCGCCGTCGTCGACGTTTACTGACTATTATTTTCGAGCGTTGCCGTTCATTGCCGGAACGTCCTCGCGTTTAAATTGACTATAATCAGAGCGGGTGAAATCCTTTCGGCCCCTAATGGCTTCCATTCGGAGATCCCCCGTTCGTTTCGCGGTCGACTTTATTATCGACGCCATGTACGATCGCTCGCGCTAACGCACACCTACGTCTCGTGAGAGAGCGAGAGTGCAGTAGGGGACCGGAAAAGCACTTACTAATCAAAGGGCGGAAACGAGAGGGATGAGGTCAGTGCGTGGCAGGCGAGACAAGGTGACGAGGGTCTTGTAATTAGCAGCTTTGAAGTGGTATCACCCTCGCTACTCATTACCAACGTTCAGGTGTCCCGGATATTAGCGTTTCTCGAACGAGACTTTCGGCGACGGCGGCAATCGTAGATGAAAATCACACGGACCGTTGGACGGATCTCGCGCTAATGAGCCCAAGAATTCCCGACGGCGAATTGCGGTTACGCGAGTAAATTTTCGCCGGAAAGTAACGCGAGGAAAATGAGGAGAAAAGAGAATGAGAAAGAGAGGGAGAAAGGGGGGGGGAAGGCTCAAAATTTGGCTGTGCAAGGGAAATCGAGAAAGTTTTCAAGCGATCTTATCGCGACTCGATGATGAAGAATCTGCCGGAATCTGTCGGCGTAAGCATTCGATTCAGCGGAAATGCAAGCGGCTGGAAATGCGGGAATTAATCTTGCTTGCTTGCTTCGGCCACGATCCCGAGAGCGAAACGAAAGACGAACGAGCTAAATTAGTTCTAATGTCCTCTACATCTTTCTCTCTCTCCCTCTCTCTTTCTCTCTTTTTCTCTTAGTATGCGCGCTATAAATTTACACAAGGTTTAACAATGATTTGAAATCCGTTTCGTTATCGTAACGAGTTCAACAGAGGAGAAAGTGGAATTTATAACATAAGTCATCGTTAAGACACACTTTTCGATAACCGAATGCTGAGGAAATATCCAATATCTCAAGTGCGAGTCTCTCCTTTGTTGCAGGTTACATCACTTACTTCTATTATTAAACGCCGATGGTCGAAAGATAGCGAAAAGATGACAACACGACGAAAATAGAGGCCAAGGTTTCGGACGTCACTGCTCGTAAACTCCAACCGGAAATTGTGGTGGACGTATTACGAATCAGCATTACGTAGTGATGCGTGGTCATTATCGAAGCAGGGACAAGCCATTACGTTTGAAGTAATTTCTGCAAATAGGTCTTACTCACGAAACTGAGGTAATACGTCCACCTTTTTCATTCTTTTTTGTTCCGCGAAGCTTTGCCGGATGATGTAAAGTTCGCGGAGCAAGGAAGAACAGAAAACGATTATTAACGCGTAGGAATTAAAAATCGAGAGAGTCAGGATCGATTTGCGAGGGTGTTCTCTAAAAAATTGGTTCCTATAGTGTAGTAAGTAGTGTACAAAATTAACAGAGAACGGCGAAAATTCCACACGTACGGCGCGACAAACGAGAAACTCGTGTTTCCTTATCTCCCGGGTAAAGGACTGCAAATAGTACATTTGAAAAGTAACCCGATATCAACCGGCTTAATAGTGGCAAGTGAGTGCCGGCCGTATTGAAAATGGCAATTACGTTGCTTAATCTACCTAACGCCGCGATAATCTCGTGCAACTGCAATAAGAACCGTCCGTTAGCCGCGTAATGGAGTCCGCGGGAGTACAAGTCGTATTTTATGGCACATCGCTACGGGTACTCGCGCCTTCGCGTGGCGGTAACGCCGAGGTGTGTATAATTAGTAGCCGGCGGGAAGCGTCGCTGCGACACAGCGTGCGATCCCAGAAGCCAACAAAGCGACCGGAGACACGAATAGCGATCCGCTCGGTGCTCCGCAGTCGAAATATCCGCTTATGAAACGAGACCGGCAAACGGGCGGGTCCGCGTTCCGTTAGATCCATAAAATAATTAAACACGGGGCGGGGCGCGTTTTGTTGGCCGGTAAATTATTTATTGCTTACCGCGACGGCGATTTAATTAGATGTAGATAGCCGTTTTCGGGCACGTTTCCGTCCGGTACGATCGAAAACCGTGTTCCAGGGGAGTCGGCCGCGCCGCGTATATATCTCGGCGCGACATAATAAATGATACGTAAAGCTGCGTGTAAATACACGGTAAGTTACGAATAAGAAAATAGACAGATCGCGTGGATCAATACAAGGAGCGGGGGATGGAGGGCGACCATTCGAGGTGCCGCAACGCTTTCGTTTCCGTTCAATTTGGTCATGGTACTTTAAACGCGGGATATGCTCTACGCGTCGATGCACTTATCGCCCGGCTTCTTGGCTAATCGATTCTTCGCAAGCGCTCCTTTTAATCACGCAACAGCGAAAAATATGTAAATTCGCAGCTTCATTGATCCGTGGCCGGCTGAACAGACAGAGAGAAAGAGAGAGACATCCGCATTCTGGATATAGTTAGCTCGCAATTACATAATTTTCGTAGACACGTAAATATGATCTACCTTAAAAGGTGAGTCTCCTTAAGAAACATGTAAATATTACACAGTTTATAAGATCAAAATAAAGCTGGTGTGTAAATCGCGTTAATTGTATCATGACTTTCGTGTTACATTCTTATCTAAGAAAATTTTATTTATTACTTAACTCTCGAGAACAACTGAGGCGTTTAACGAAGGAAAGTGCGAGTTAATAACAGATATAGTTCCGAGCAAATGAATCGTGTAATGTATGAACTTTACGATAATAAAGACGAAATTGCTGGTTTGCCGAAATGCTGTAATTTCCAAGGGTTTTAATAAAATTGTATACCTCTCTTATCTCGGTGTTTATTTACTGCCGAAAAAGCGATTACGGAGAAAACATTTTCGCGCAGTAAATCGTTCGTTATTGCAGTAACAGCAAAAAGATCTGTTTGGACAGTAAAAAGATTTGTTAAGAACATTGATTGCTAATTACGCCAATTATTAATGCTATACGACGTTTCGATACAACAGTAAAATCATTTTTATATCTGTAACAAATCGTTTATTGCTGTCACTATAGTAATGAACAATTTGCTGTGCCAGCAAAAACTTTTCCTCCGTGTACAGACTCACCAGGCCCGAGTCAAATAGCGCGACAACTTTATGCGGAGCCGCGGATTCCGCGAAGTATTAAACATTCTTATACATATCTCGAGATAAAGAAAATGTCCTCTCCTATCGAACTTCCCGGCTGCAGCGATTATTAATGCAATGAAACACTTTAATTGTTTTACAATGCTTTCAGCTGCTCATGAAGCGTAAATGTCTCGGCGCAGCATTGGAAACCTTTCGTTGCTCAACGAGCAACCTTGTCCGGGAATGAAATTTGCCAATAAAATGATAAACACGACGGACAGCGTTCTTATCTGCGACGAAATCTTCGGTGCACGACGCTCGCACGACGATAATTACCATCGGCGCTATTATACGCGCCAGTGTATTGGTAATTACGAAAGTTTCCTGCAACCGTTCGCGAGCGCGCTCGCGGAATATTCAAACACATGTACGTCCGCTAACGGCGCGTAGACTCTCACTCGATCTTTGCCGATGGAGAAACTGTGTCTTGTAATGTGTAACGAAAGTCCAGTCGCGCCGTCGCGCATTGATAAACAAGGAATCGCGCACGACAATATGTGGGTGGGCGATAGAAAAACAAGCGGAATATTATTCACGAAAAAAGCTAAACTAGTTTGTCAATAGAACCACTGCATTCCTAATCTTGCTTTTTACACCTCGAAGCGAGTAAGTCGCTTTCATATCGTACGTAAGAACCAATCGAATAATTTGATTTTAAGCCTGCTCGCATGTCAATGCTCCGCCGCCAAATCTTGAAAAATTTTTGCAACTTTATAAGAGCAATCACCCGCGGTCCACTAGCAGCTGCAAAACCGGTTTTGTTATAATCGCATGAATCATGCAAATTATATAAATTGCACTAACTTTACTGCTTATATTAGAGAATAACTAGTATATTGGTTTGCAGTGATAACTGATAAGAATACACGTCCTGATTATTTCATGTGGAAAAAGATAGATGTCGATAATAAAGTTCAATTCGTATGTATATTTCATTTACCGAATTCGGTAAAAGACTGCCCTATTGGAGTGAGAAGACTCGATTACCGTCAGTTTCCAATGACAGTTTTCAAATATGCCTAAAAGACCGGTAAAAGGGACGCGGTATTATATTCTGTAAATCGGTTATTACAGCTCATATAAGGTCTTACACTCGGTAATTGGCTGCCTCGGTAATATTCTTAGCGTACCTTTTAGGAGGCTCGGTGATTCATGCAACAACGTTTCTTCCGAATAATAAGAAAAAAAGACTTAATTCGTCGATATAATTGCCTGGGAAAATTTGTATACTGTGATTAATATCTAAATATTGAAGTGAAATAATACGGACGTCTCTAGAAAATGGTAAAATAATCTCATTATTGATACATCCAATCGGTGTATGTTTTTATAACCTCGATTTTAACAACAGAAAGTTCTCTAATCATAGCTAGACTGAAGAGAAAAAAATCGGCACCATCATATCTGTTTAAGTTACATCCGTCTGACAATCGTGAGCTTCCGCTCGACGCGTTTTCACGCGCGATCTGCCAATCATCCTGAAGTGAAAGCATTCCGGTACGAGCGGGACGAAGTGTGGGATAACCGGGTGGACGACGTAAAAAATATCGTTTATCATTCACGCAGTCGCGATTTGCGTGCTAGGCATGGCTTTATGCGAAGCTCCGGCCAGGGCTTGAAAAATTCGTCGTCGCCGCAAGCCTCTCCCGTAAAACCGGGCGCCGGGATATCTCTCGTTTAAGGCACGAGCGGCGTGAGATTCGTCGGCGTTACGAAACCGCGGAATCTGCGGTTGCACGACTCGCGAATGTATCGTATATCCGCGCGCGACGATAAGGATCTGCTCAAGATCCGCCGAGAGCGCTCGTTCGCTCCGGAGCGGAGCAAAGTGGAGCCACGCGTTAGGCGGCTTAGGGGGAGATTCGAAAGCGTGTACAGAAAGTTAATACCTCGTTTGACACTGGCGTTTCTAAATTGAGCAATTCAGGGGGCATAAAAACGTCTTATTGAAATCCAACGATCTCAATCATCGTTCCGTCGAGAGATCGCGATGTCATCAATCGACTACGAGAGACTGCGACTCGGAATGTGCGCCGGTCACGCTACCTGAAATGTGAAAAGGCAGGGAGCTTTACGGGAGGCAACGCGTCGCTTTAATATTTAAAAACAAGATAGTGGTGCCTCGGGGATGTAAACCAGGTACACTCGCTGCATTATTGCGTCTGCTCTTGATAAAAAACCGCCGGCATTAATGTCTGCTTTATGAGTATGCAAGAACGCGCCGGATTCACAGCGCGATAATGCTTAGTTAATATTAATGAAGTTGCGGCTATAACCCGCTTTACGCGGAGCGCTTTGAAAAATGTGGAACATCAATCCCGCTCGTGTGTAGAGAGCGCGAAGATGCGACACGGGGAGCGTCGCAGGGAAAGTCTCCTCCAAAGCGCGTCTCGCGACACTTACGACGCGATTTCCGTCCTGCTCGCCACGCGAGGAAGACGATGTCCCTGTCGGTTCGGTACAAATCGGTGCCACTCTCCGCTTCCGTGACGAGAAAATGTCGTGCTCGCGCGCCACTTTTGCCTCTCCTCGAGTATCGGGCACTTCCAGTCTACCGAACAAATGTTCAATCGATTATCGGGCGTGCGTCTCGTTGCAGCCTCGCCTGCATCGTATTTATCGAGTAGCTGTCGAGTTCACGTCGCGGCGAATTTCTAAAGGCTCGAGATCCGCATTTCACTCCTTCCAGGCGTTATTATATTCGCGCGGTGACTATGCATTACATCGCGACGGCATGCGCGTCAATCCGCGGGAGCTTCGTTTTCAATTAAGGTGCCCGCCAGACAATCGATATTTATCGTCGGTCCCTTGTCGTAAGCGCGAAAAACACTGTCTTTCCGAATATATTAATGAAAAAGTGAGTTTCACTTCGTTGCTGACGCTTAAGGGGATGCTGTAATCGTCGGCGAACTTGATAAGCGTCGATAACGTAGAGGCGAAATGTTATATTACATAAATATTGACACGATCATGCTACTCTGTTCGTATTCTTTATACATATTAGGCCTTACATAAATGTTAGTGCGATATACATGTAAATAAGATGAATGTGCGCCACTCTGTTTTACTATATCTAGTGGAGAATCTATGTATATATTGAAATTTCATTCTTTTCGAAAACTTTTCGTATCTTCTTAAGCTTTTATGTACAATTGTAAAGGTACAGAAATGTTCTTCAAAATTTTTCTTATTGAAGCAAACACACATTCGATACGTACAAGTGGCAACATTTTTATCTTAGATAAATTATTTTAGATAAATTTACTAAACAGGTCGAGATTTCAGTTTTGAAATTTTTTAATCATTTTCGTCGCATATTGGACAATGCCTCAATTTATTTTCGCACGTATTTTCGCTATGTATTTTTAATTATATGCAGTCAATAACAAATATAGTATTAATGAATTTTCGGTAAAACGGGACGACTCACACGTAATCTAGCGCGCCGTTACGAATTTTCGATTTTTGTTGTAGGTTTCTGCATATATGAAACAAATGAGGGACTGACAACGGATAAGAATTGATAGCAAAACGTTACCTGAATAAATTTGTCACAAAAACATATTATGGTATATAATAAAAAAAAAAGAAAAACAATTGAAGAAGAAGATTGCAAAAACAATTTAAACTCGCTTTAGATATGTTATAATATGCGACAGATTTAAGCCAATAAAAAAATAAAGAAATTAAAGTAGTTTTTCTGAATATATTATATATGAATATATTATATGTCGCACGTCATAGAATTTTAAACTGTATTAGAATAATAACATTGCGTGCTATGGACTTTGGTCAATTTCGACCAAACAACGCAAGAAATGCTAAAACACTGTAACGTAAAAACCGAAATTTTTTCCTAGTATATGCACCATAGGCGAAATCCATCGCAAGTGGTGGTTTCAGTTTGCTTTTTCTCGCACGTGTCTCGCTCGTTGGGTATTCACGGAAATCGTTCGCGGCTCGTGTTAATATCTACCGGGATTTATCGCATTGCCTTCGCAGTTGTGTTCTTTCTGTTTTTCTTTTTCCACGACACTTATTGCGACGGCGTAGCAGGCAATAAATATACGCTGCAACCTCCCAATTTTCGCAACGAACAGGAGAATGATGGAGGAGACGGCGCATGGTTATCTTTCTTTTTTTCACAAACAATCCTTCGCCATGTATTGTGCAATGTTGAAATAACGCGCTACAAGTATGGCGACTTCGAGCGATATCGTTTTTATTGGTGTAGTCGTCTATTAGAACGCGTCAGAGCGCAGCGAAAGTGATCGACCGGTATCAGGAGTAAATAATCCGCTGCGCCGTGAATAGAATAGATTCCCGTAATCACTCGATCGCATTCAAGCCGGCCGTTAGAACGTTTCAATAGTCAGTATACGAGATATCGGAAATCTTGACAGTATGCCACCTGTCGGCTTTAGGTTTGTCCGACAAAGTTCCGGTGAAATCAGAGATTCAGCGGAAGAATTCTCCACACTCTTCATCTTATTTTGCGCATGTCGACGATTAAATTTCGCACTAAAAAATTCGCCTCTGTTAGTCGTAACATTTTCCACCCATGAATGATATTATTCACGCTCTTCCAAGTTAAATCGCTCGAG